TTGCGGGGGGTCAGCATTTACAAGCACGGGCGAGGAGGGGCCTGTTGGGGTATTCACGTCTACGACTATACAGAGAGAGAGAGTAAGCGAGACGGAGAGAGAGAGAGAGAGAGAAAGACATACCGAGTGAACAAACATGTAATGTACGAGGGAGGACAGGGAGGAGGAAACACCGACGACAACAGCCATGAGGGGTGTGCTTCGCTATGATTGCTCTATTTCGACGGCGGAGGAGGAGGAGGGTGAATGAGAGAAAGGGCCTGCCTACAGCCCCGGCGCCCATGATATAGAGCAACTACCTTTGTCAGCGGCCAGGCTGCCCATACGGCCCACAGGAGCAGTAGGGGCACTGACAGGAAGCGCCGAGCAGGCCAACTTACTGTATAAGTGCCCTTTTGTCTATAATGCTGCCCGCTTGCGCGGGCATTTCGTCCATTCATGTTCGGTGTCTTTCTTCCTTGTATCATGGTTATAGACTCGGCTAGTGCTCCCCCTCCTAACGTCTGCTTGCTACGGCCTACTGAGCATATCGTATGTACCTTTGGCCTCTGTGCATCGCTGCTACCCGCACACGCTTGCAGCAACACGTGTGGCCATTGTCCCCAAGTCGGCGCACAAGCCATGCGCGCTTGGCTCACGAGCGCTGCGAGCCCCGAGCTTGCAGTCCGATCGACGTCACTCTGGGGGAGAGGGGAAAGGGCAGGGGCGGATCCTCCTCCTCCTCCTCCTCCTCCTCCTCCTCCTCCTCCTCCTCCTCCTCCTCCTCCTCCTCCTCCTCTTCCTGGGCACGACGAGGACGTGAGGGCGAGGGCGAAACGCGGCGACGAGGACGAGGACCAAGCCCCCGAAGGCGAGGAGCGGCGAGGGGGGGCCGCCCCCCGGGCGGGAGGCCGCCCCCCGGGAAGCCTCCCTGCCCCGCCGCGCCCCGCGCCCCGGGCTTCCCGAGTAACGACCGCAGGGGGGGGGGGGGGGGAGGGCAGAGCGCGAGGGGGGGGGCGGGGGGGAGGGTAGGGCGCGAGGGGGGGGGGGAGGGCGCGAGGGGGGAGGGGCGGGGGGAGGGACAAGGCGCGACGGTCGGGGCCCCCGAGCCGCGCGTGCTCGAGGCGGGCCCGCCTCGCAGAGCGGGGGGCGCCGCGTGCGAAGCAGGGGTGGTTGGCTGACCTCCCCCCTGGCGCGGACGACGGGGTCTGCGGCTGGAGAGCAGGCGACGGTCGGCGGTGATCAAGCCCCACGGGTGCCCGCCTGCGCCACCGTGCGGAGAGAGGCGCTGGCTTTAGGCGCGCGTTGGCGTGCGCGCCCCGGCGCCCAGCAAAGAGAGGCGCCGCCTTGGGGCACGGGGGGGGGGATAGAGGACGGATTGGGGGGGAGGACGGAGGAGGGAGGAGGCAAGGGATGGGAGGACAGGAGGAGATGTGAAGGGCGGGGGGCGGAGGGCATGGGGGAGAGGGGGCAGGGAGGCGAGGTGAGGAAAGGGGGAGGGGGAGGAGGGAGGAGATTGAAGAGGGAGGAGAGAGGGCGATAGGGAGGGAGGCAGGGAGGAAGGGAGGAAGCTGTGAAGGGATGAAGGGACGAGGAGGAAAAGGAGACCCGGGGCCGTCGGGGCGCCGAAGCGCGGCAACGGCAAAGGCTCCTCCCGCAGGTGCGCCGGCCCCCAAGGACACGGCAGCCTGCAGACAGAAAGGCACCGATGCCGCTTCTCCTCGGACCTCTCCTGGGGCGCATTCCGGCCAAAAGTTTGAGACTCCAGCCGTGTGGAGCTGGTCCCCGAAGATCCGACCTTGCAACAAAAACACGACGTAGCAGAAAATCACGACGGGAGCCCTGGACCCCATCTTTCTGCGTCAGTTTCGGAGCCGGATCGTGAGGTTCCGGGGGCCCCAGGCCGGGAGAAAACGCCCGCTGTGAAAAGGCTGTATCGCCGAGATCTCGGGGCGCACAGCTGCGCGCTGCAGCACCCGGTGGCGCCACGGCTGGTTCCGGAGACCCTGCGCCAAAAAGCCATGGCTATCTCTTTGGAAGCCGACGTTTGCCTCCGCCGGCCTTCCGCCGGCGGAGGCGGCCAGGTTCTACTTCCCCCCTCTTCCGCCGAGGAGGAGGAGGAGGAGGAGGAGGAGGAGGAGAAGGAGGAGGAGGAGGAGGAGGAGGAGGAGGAGGCGGAGAAAGGAGGAGGTGGAGGAGCAGGAGGAGGAGGGAGGAAGAGGTCCTGCTCCTCCTCCCTCCTCCCCCTCCTCCTCCTCCCCCCTCCCCCCTCCCTCCTCCTCCTCTCCTCCTCCTCCGCCTCCGCCTCCTCC